AGTTACTTTGTTTTCTATATGCCAAGTCCTGATTTCAGAATTCTGAAATCAGTATAGAAGAACCTACGGTCAGGAAAATATTCATCCTGTGTGATAAGGTTTCTCACATGGGCAAGCAAATGCTTTCAGACTTTTGGGAGCTGGCACGCCCTGAGCCCCAAGGGCTCATTCCTCCACCTTCTCTCCTATAAAGAGCATTATGACTTCTGTGCACCAAACAGAAGCAACAGCAACTTACTGGCCTGAATTTCTCATACCCTGAGAGCTGCCACTGCCACTGCCACTCTGCCGCTGCCATTTTGGATTCCCAGTTATTTTCTTTCTTACTTTCCAGGTCCTGGGTTCAGAATTTTGAGATCAATATAGAAGCAGTGGAAAGTGAGCCAGTTGTGTCTGTAGCACTTGACATCTTTACTAATGAGTCACTTCCTTCTGTTCAACTGGCATCTGTGGGGACCACAGGTAGTTTCTAGTCCTGTGTGGCATCTAGGAATTTACACATCCTAACACTGTACTTCTGTATGCTAATTACGAGTTAAGCCTGGTTTCCACCAGATGGTCACCCAGCTGCAAATGGACGTTGGTAAGAAGGGTCTGTCCTGTGAAGAATGAACTCTTTCTGAAGCTTCTCTTCTGGACACTGAAGTATCTGGGTAGGGTGCTGGTTCTAGATTTCCTTTAAATGTGTTTGAAGAGTTTTCAGCAAATATAGAAGCCAGTATCATAGGGGTGATATTTTAATGCATCAAATCTAGTCAAATATATCTTTTGTATGCTACCTCTTGGAAAAAGGAGTTTAAGGGGCAAGAAAGATGGTTCTCAAACCTCTAATATTTATCAAATATCCAGCACAAGGGATTTTGTTAAACCAAGAGAAAATGGACTAATACACCACCACTTTGGAGTTCTCCAAACTTTACCACTTCATAACATTCAATGTTTTGAGTTTTTCTTCCTATACCATTCACCACCATTAAACCCACATACATATATCCAGAGTCAATATATTCCATATCCTCTTTGGATATCTTCATGAACATTTTCTTTTGGATTTTTGTATCTACATTTGTAAAAAATCCTATTTTAATTATTTTTTCCTCTGATTTAGCATCAAAGATATGAATTTATAAATTTACTTAGGAAGACTGTAAACTTTTGATGTTCTCTGAAATAGTTTTGAAGTGAAATTTGTACATAATATATTTTGGTCCTGAACTTTGTTTTCCCATTTCCCAAACAACTTATCAAATCAACCTGTGTTCCCACCCTCTCTCCAGAACATCCAAGAAAACCACCCTGCCTTCATATCTCCACATGTCAGTCTTCAAAGTCTGTTTTGTGAGAGAGCCAGAGAGAGCCCTGTCCTCTCTTTAGACCACCCCCAGCACATCCTCAATGCTTCCTACAGGTTTTTGTGGTAGGTATGAAAACACTCATTTCTGATCTGGGACTCCAGCAAACCCCGAGTGCTGGTAAGGAAGAGAAAGCCTTAGCATAGTTCTAGGCATGCTCTACCCTCTGAGAGACAGGCAGGCCGGTGCTGCTCCTGTTACAGAGTTGATTGACAAAATCAGACACATACTCTGATTCTTTATTAGAGTGGTAATTTTAAATAAAATTCTGCATTTAATTCCCTATCAGCTCAAACCTGGTGTGACTCACTTAACTCTTATGAAGAGATGGGTGGTTAGCAGGTGAAAGGCCATTAGATCACCCAAACTGGGTTGACGTTTGAATCTCTAAATGAAGTATATCTAATATTCTCTTCTGTCCCAGCAACCGAGTGAAGGAGAAGTTAATTTCTGGTACAGAAATTGGAACAGAAGTTCATCTCACTTTTCTTATGTCTCTGAAGTTCATAAGCTTTGCATTCTTTCTCATTATCTTCTGAGTCAGAAATTCTTTGCCTAGTCATTAGGACATTCCCGAGAACACCCGGCCCAGCCCCCCTTTCATCTCACTGCCCCACACGGCTCCCCCTCCTTGCCACACACTTCCACATGTGTCACCCCTATTTTACCAGCTTCTCTCTTTAGACCATTAATTTGCTAAATGCCACTCATCTACTCTGAAAACAGCAAAATGTGTTACTTGAAAGGCAAAAATGGCAAAAGATCAGCAAATTCAATCCCCCAAAGTTAAATTTTGAGAGATCAGAAATGAGACTCATATATGGAAAATGGCAAATGTTTTCTACATTTTGAGCTATTAATAATGCTTATGAATACATTTGAAATTTAAAAATTAGGGAAATTCAAATATGTCAAATCAAAGAAATTTAAAAGGTAATTCTAAAATCAATATTACTCCTAATAGAAAGCTTTTGATGCAGATAGTTTCATGTGAAACTTAAGCCATATATATAAATTTCATTTTCAAAATTATGTCATTAGTCCCCTGCATTTTATCTCTACTCCCTTGAAGCCCCATCTTCCAACCCCCATGACCCCTTTCTAATTTCCTGACCTCTATACATTTCCAAATGAAACACATATATCTGAAGATTCAAAGCTAACATTCACAAATTAGAGAGAAACCTGACATTTTTCTTTCTGGGTCTGGGTTACTTAGCTCAGGATGATAGTTTCCACCTCCATCCATTTACCTGACAATTTCATAATTTCATTTTTCTTGACAGCTAAATAATATTCCATTGTATAACTAATCAAATGGAGTGGGAAATGGGAGGGAAAAATAGAGGAAATATCAGGAAGGATAACTAACACTAAAGACCTTTTGAAAAAGTCATGTGGAAATCTACTACTTGTAGCTTCCTAAAATTCACACTTACACGTATATAAAAAGAGTTTAAATGGGGGTATTCTGTAATGGGATGAAAGTGCTCCTATCAACAAATAGACACCACAGGCTAACAAATAAAAAGCCCAGTGTCTGGAATGGGTTACCTCTTTTAGAGTTGTTTTCCAATGAGATCCCATAGACCCCCAAAACATTATACCTACGGCCGTTGCATTTAGTTGTTCCTAGAACTTGATGGTAAGACCCTATTGCTGAAGACATCACATGCTTGAGTCCTAGGGCATGGAGAAATCAAGCTGGTCCTAACCTGGAAGCTTCATCACTACCTACTAGCTTTCATAGTGCTGGAAAGTGCTATGCACCCTACTGGAGGGGAAAAGTAGTGGCCAGTTTTACCCAGCTGTGAATTCTGTGGGCTACAATAACAAACAGCCTGTCAAGACATGCCCATTGGTGTAATGGTGGCACAAATGTCATGGGAGTAACCAAGTACTTTCTGGTGAGTTAAGGTCTACTCCACAAGATGAAATCCATAGCTACCACTGGTATTAGGGCCAAGAACCTACCTATGGCTAGACAGGTCATAGGCCCTAGGGGAGAACCTACTACTACTATTCTGCTAAGAGAACATAGCTTATTAAACTGACTCCTAACAATGTATCCCTATACTCAAAAGAAGCTTCTTTTTTAAGTAAATGGTTATTAACACAGAGACCCACAACTGGAGAGAATAAGAGACTGCAGACTGATCTGTCCTAAATGGGACATATGTACCACACTCCCTCCTCCCAAGGCTCGGGCATCATTGTGGAAAAAGGGGAAGAAAGATTGCAAGAGACAGAGGTGGTGAATGAGCAAAAAAGGAAACCATGCTTTCCAGACAGCCAGGGAGTTACAGTGGTTGTGACAGCATGCACAAGACCTGCGAAAGCTCAAGCCAGACAAAAATCCCATCATGGAAAGGGGAGGTAGGCATGCTGTCCCATCCCTACCTGAGGGGCTATTGACAATTGATAGCTGCCAGGAGAGGAAGAGTCAATTTTCTTTAAGACTGTGGCCCCTGGTAGGTTGACCATGTTGAAATGGATTGCCACACACCCAAGATTATACTGATTGCACAAATTGTACTGGATTGGTTTTTAAAAAACAAGGACATAAAGGCGGGGTAGATCTAGAAGGAGTTTGAGGAGGGGGGTGAATATCATCAAAATACATGATATGAAATTTTCAAAAAATTAATAAGGGGCTGGAAAGATGTCTCTGCAGTTAAGAGCACTTGCTGCTCTTGTAAAGAAACTGGGCTCATTTCCCTGTACTCTAATGGTGGCTTAGAACCATTTTTAACTCCAGTTCAGGAGGATCCAATGTCCTCTTCTGTCCTCGAGAGGTATGAGGCATACACATAATGTGTGTACATACATGCAGGCAAAATATACACATAATTATTTTTAATTTTAAAAAGAACTAATGAAAAGAAACTATTTCAGAGAATGCCAAAAGTTTAAAATCTTCCTGTCCAAGTTTGTTACTCCATTGCTGTGACAAAACACTCTGACCACTACCAACTTGGGGAGGCTCCCCTGGCCCCTGCTCAGCCTGCTTTCTTATACAATACAGGCCCACCTGCCCAGGATGATACCACCCACAGTGGGCTGGGCCCTCCCACATCACTCAACAATCAAGAAGATGCCCCATGGACATGGCCACAGGCCAGTCCAATGAAGGCAATTCCCCAATTGAGGCTCCCTCAACCCAGGTGTGTCAAGTTGACACTAAAGCTATCCAGCACACTTCCTAAATACACTTATAAATGCCCGTACCTTTAATGCTACAGTCTGAGAAAAATATAATTGATTTTTTTTACAAATATAAACACAAAAGTGCTAATTAAAATAATCATAAAGGACTAGCAGGATGGCTCAGCTAGTAAGGGTATTTGCCACCAAGCTTAAGCATCTGAGTTCAATCCCTGGGACCCACACAGTAGAACAAGAGACCAATATCTGCGAGCTGTCTTCTGAGATCCATGCACAAGCAGTGTACTTACAAACATAAACACACACACACACACACACACACACACACACACAAATAAGTAAAGGAAATTTAAAATATTTTTAATCCATGAAGTTATTCAACAAACTATTAAATAATTACTATATTATGAAAAATGGGCTTCAAATATCAATCACTGGCAAAAAATTTCAGTACATTAATGAAATTAAAACTATGAAAATAACAATACTATACTTTCGGGATCATTTCTATAGTTCATTACTGGAGAAGTTTCTTTGACTGTGTAGAGTACCAGAAACCACGAGGAGGAGACATAGCGTTCTCTCCTGAGCATGAAGCCAGCTCTTAGTGTGCTTCATTGCAACTGCCACTTGCCATTGATGATTGTTCTCTCTTTTGGGAGAGTCAAGAGAAAGGATGCAGTCTGAGTGGTTAAAAAAAAAAAAAAAAAAAAACCACACACAACCTATGAAAATAGCACATTGCAGGGCTGGAGAGACGGCCCAGCAGTTAAGAACACTGGCTGTTCTTGCAGAAGACCCAGGTTCAAATGCCAGCACCCACATGGCAACTAACAACTGTCTGTAACTCCAGTTCCAGGGGATCTGACAGCCTCTTCTGTCTGAGGGCATTGCATGATGAGTGCACTTACCTACGTGCAGGCAATATATGCATACACACAAAAATAATAATTTTTTTAAATAGCAAGTTTCAGTGGCACACTGAAATGTAGTCCCAGCTACTTAGGAAGCTAAGGCAGGAGGACCACCACATGAACCCAGGGGTTTGAGACCGGCCTGCACAACGTAGCCAGACTGTCTCAAAAGAGGAAAAGGAAAGACGTTCCATTTCTGCATTGAGGACTAACTAGCCTCTCCTCTCCTCATAGGCAAGCACACACCAAACAAATGAAGAAAAGCAAGAGTATTCAGACATCAGATAATAGTCGCCAAGTGACTATAGACCTAGAGAGAGGGCAACACAGTGAACGCCATGGCCACTCTGTGACTACTACAGATGGCACTTTGGGACCGTGGTTGAGAAGGAACAAGAAAATCATACTTTGTGAGTAATATGAGCCTCTATAAACCCAGTCAACAAAGAACTACAGGAAACTGTAATTTCAGTGACTTCCAAATTCACAAAAAGCAAAGAGATGATCATGATGTGCAAAGTCATAGTGAAGAAATCTCACCAAAAGCATACCAAGGAGGGTTCCTGAGAGAGGTGTGCTTAAAAGGCAGAAATAAACTTGCTAAAGAAAGACTAGTATAGGCTCACTGTAAGGAAGATTACAATAAGCCTGGGAAACATCCAGATGGAAACTAAACTCCATACTTCTTAAAGGAAATGAGCCAACCAAGATATCCAACAAAATGTGTGACATGCAACAAAAAAATCACTAAAAATATGAAGCAGACAAAATATGACAAAATTTAGGAGAAAAGTCATTCACTAGAAATGTAACCCAATGATGTATGACAGAATTGTCATATAAGACAGATATTATAAATATGTACCTAAAAGATTTTAACCATGGAATAAGAAACTGTAAAATAAATAAATGAATGAAGCCATACTAGTGGGGCAAACACAGTATCAGAAACAAAGTCAGAAGGGAGGATCAGCAGGAGTTAAACATTATCAATGAATGAATTTGAAAACATGGAATTGCTAAGTACTGAATCAAAGCACAGAATAAAAACCACAGAGAATTATATACTATCTATGAAAAACAAGTTTTATTTTTTAAATTTATTCATATATTTAGGGGGTACATACCACAGCACTCATGTGGAGGTCAGAGGGCAACCTGTGGGAGCTGGTTCTATCCTATCAGGTGTGTTTGAATGAGCGAACTCGGGTTGTTAGGTTTGGCAGAGGCACCTTTACCCAATGAGCCATATCACCAGCCCTAGAAACAACTTTGAATAAAATGATAGGTTGAAAATCAAAAAACAAAAATAGATGTCAAATTTACACTGTTAAAAATAGTTACAAAAGAAGTTTCTTTGGGAAACTGTTTCTTTGGGAGCTTGAGAGATGGCTCAGCAGTTAAGAGCACTGATTGCTCTTGCAGAGGACATGGGATTGGATCCTAGCACCCATATGGTGGCTAAAAAACACCCATAACTCCAGTTTCAGAGCATCAAACACCCTCTTCTGACTCTGCAGGCATTGCATGACACGGGTGCACTTACAAGCATGCAGTCAAAACATTCATACACATTAAATACAAATAATAAGCAAAAAAAGAAGCCTCTTTGATGAGTGGTGATGGGCATACTTGCCTGTAAATATAAGGATACATATTTAGCATATAGTAAGAAATTATGTTTGTCTAGGGATATGACAGACTTAGGGCTTTCTCTAAGATTTATGAACTCTTGGGGCACTAAATGTGATTAAGATGTATGAAATCCATAAAAACTCAATAGAAATAAATTTAAAATTAAAAAGTTACAGTGGCTATATTAATATTGGACAAAAATTTCAGAGCAACTAACATTACCAGGGATAAATAGTATCATTCCACCATGATAAAGTAGACAGAAGTCAAAATGGCATAACAATCTTAAATTGTGGTATCATACCTGATTCAAGCTCTATACAGAAAAACCCATAAAATAAAAGGAGAAATAGAAAGAAAAGTACACCAATAATCTAGTATTTCAACACTTTTTCCTCAGAGGTTGATATAGTAAGTAGATAGAAAATCAGTAAGCATAAAGGAGACTTTAATTCTATGTCAAAGCCCCTTCATATTTAAGGACCACTCTGCCCAAGAACAACAGAACATCCATTTTCTTCAAGCCTAGACAGAGCTTTACTAAGACAAACCACATCCTGGGCCATAAACCAAAACTCAGTTGATCCAATAGGATTTTCCATGCAGCACATGTCTCCTGCAACCAGGAATTATATTAGAAAGAGGTTGGAAATTTATTTGCAATACCTAACAAAAAGGCAAGAACTACAAGCCATTGAAAACATAACTCAAAAGCACACAAAAGCTACATATAGAAATATCGCACAGAAAATAGCCTCGAATTGCAAATAATCATGAAAATTTCATTTTTGTTATTTGGGAACACCAAATTAAAATAAAAATTTTATGTCATTTTTACACATCGATTTTTACAATAATTAGAATTACTAATTATACTTCATACGAGTAAGAACAAATGCAAAATTTCATAGGCTTTGAGACACTGTAAAAATCGAAACTTTTGAAGATCAATTTGGTAGTAGCCTTCAACAATTTAATATACCTATTTACCATAACTCAACAACTGAGTCCTAGGATTCTGTAGTAGTCTAGAAATACTCTAACATGCATAATAATGGAACAACACTCAGATGTAATCAAGCACACACAATGACATTGTGATATGAAAACTTGAGGTTCAAATCCCACTTCCAACTCTTATTAACTGTAGGATCCAGAGAAAGCTACAAAATCTTGGACCTCAACTTTATCAGTTAAAAAAAGAAAAAGATTAATAATAGAGGCTAGTTTATATTTACCGGAAGTAAAGGAATATATTATTCCTGTGCACCTGATGAGCCTTCAATCAAAATCATCCTCATCCTTTGTTATATTCTCCAAAACAACACAGCACCTACCATGTACTAGGATTTTCACAAATATTTGCTCAATGAATTTCACGTTCACACTTTTCCTGCAGGTATCATTTCCTCTGTTATATAGTTTCTCTGGTAAATGCTATCATTACTCTAACATGCCATAAAGGCTCCCTCATCAAGCACAAAGGGTTTATACCCCAGATACTGCAAATACAGCCAGCAGCCAGTACTGGGCTTCAGACAGCTAGAGAGACTATCTTCATCAACAAGAGCCACCAGGTCCAGGAACACATCTCCTTATCAAGGTGGCACATATCAAGACACTTACTGACCTCAAGACATAAAAGCTCAGCACTCTCATCTTACCTTGGCACTGCTCTAAGAAGTCATCCACTGAAATGGGATCACAGCTCATTTTCGAATTCTGAAAACCCAGTTCCTTTCCTTCCCGCATGCTGATCCCAAGAACTTATCCTGATAAACCCTTGCATGCTCATCTTAGAAATGGCCTTTGAAGAGCCTAAATATATTTATATTTAGAGTCTAAATATAAATTAGCATAAGCTTCTCCTTGTAATAACCTGTGGTTACCTATAATAGCAAATTGTGTATAAGGGTATATTAGTTATTTTGTATCACTGTGATGAAGTATCTGACAGAAACAACTTAAAGGGAAGAGGGTTTATTTTAGCTCAGCTCTCAGAGGGATTTTGGTTCATCAGAATGGAGAAGGCATTAGCAAAAGGAGCTCCACTGTGGCCACAGGGGCATGGGGTGGCAACTATTCATATGGCAATAGACCAGGAAGCGGAGTGCAAACTTGAACCAGGAGCACGTATAACTATTGAAGACCCTCCCCTGGTGATCTATTTCTACTATCCAGGCCCCACCTCCTAAAGGCTACTTTAAAACAGCACCACCAGCTAGGGACCGAACATTCAAAACAGGAGCCCATAGGGAATACTTCAGATTCAAGCCATAGCATTCTCCCACTGAACCCAAAGGCTCATGGTCACCTTATAATGTAAAATGTTTTCAGTACAACATCAACAGTCCCTTTAGTCTTAACATTCCTATTACTGTTCAAAAGTCCAAAGTCTCTACTGAGGCTCATGGAAATCTTTTAGTGTTGAGCCACTGGAAAATCAAAAAAAGTTCATACTTAAACCATTACTATTAGTGTTCTAGTTTTCTCTCTATTGCTGTGATAAAGCAGTGCCCAAAATCAACTTAAAGAAGGAAGAGTTTATTTTGGATGACGGTGACAAAGGATAAGAGTCCATCGTGGCAGAAAGGCAAAGCAGCCAGCAGCAGATGTGGCAGCAGGACCCAAAAGCTGAGACCTCACATCTTCTACCACAAGCAGGAAGCAGAGAAAACAAACGGGAAGTGAGACGAGGCTTTGAACTCTCAAAGCCCACCCCCAGTGACATACTTCCTCCAGCAAGGCTATACTTCCTAAACTTCCACAAATAGCACCTCCAGTTGGAGACCAGTCTTCAAATATGTGAGCCTATGGAGGATATTTGTCATTCAAATCACCACAGTTACTTTCCCTGCTTCTGTGATAAAATACCTGGACAAAAGCAACTTACAGGAGAAAAGGGTTATTTGGGTTGGCTGTTCAAGGGCACAGTCCATCATAATGGGAAGTCCTGGCAGCAGGAAAGCAAGGCAGCTGGTCGCATTACATTTGCAAAAGTAGAGGAAGATGAGTGCTTGTGCCCAGCTCACTTTCTCCTCTTTGTACAGTCCAGAATCTCAGTCCTGGAAATGGTGCTATGCACAATGGGTGGCTCTTCCCTCTTCAATTAACCTACAAAGATAACCTGCCACAGGCATGCT